GGCCACAGGAGCTTAAAAAGACCAACTGGTCCCCAACTGGTGCGAAGGTATGTAGTTTCGGACTAGTCCCAAACTGGTTCCCGGACTGATCCCCGACTGCTTACCAAATGGTCCCACGAACTAGTTACCAACTGGTCCCAAAGTGGTTAGCAACTGGTCCACCTATACCTCAAGTGGTCCACAAGTCACTTCACTTACAAAGCATTCGATTTAGTTGACAATAGTCAAACTACATAACGTAGACCTAAAATTTCTACAGCGAAAGTAGAACTTTGAAATCGATTTTAAGCGGTCGTTATTCATATACCCACATACATACATACATATATTACTTTTCATATCAATTCAAGTGTATTACATGCGCCCCACGCTTTTCATTTTCAATTTCATAGATTGTTTATAATGACTTTTGCTAAAATTTCAAAATCAAAAGTTATCAAAACAAATTCTATGGGACTGAGAAGTATTATTTTCTACTTTTTAGTCCATTTATAAAAGCGTTGTATATTAAAAAGTTTTTTTTATATTATTTATTTTCTACTTTTTAGTCCTGTCTGAATAAAATTTTGCAATAGATATTAAAATAATTCAACGATATTAATAGAAAGGTGCACACACATGCATTTACATATGTATGTACATACAAACGAGCACCAATTAATTTTATTTAAAGAAATGGCGTGTCGTCTATTTCCGGTGTAGCAAACGTAGTACATAGGGCGACATCTAGATGTCATCTACCTCGCCCTATTCACTATGCTTTTTTATAGGAGCTTTTCAAAGCTTTGCTTTGGTGTCGGAACACAACATTGAAAGTTTCTGGATCCACAACATTGAAAGTTTCTGGAACACAACATTGCAAGTTGATAAAAGCGTTGTAAAATATAAAAATTAGTGGTTAGATTATGTCATTCCGACAGAATTCTACCTGTATTGTGCCTCCATCACTTATACCAAACAAATATGCGATTCTCCAATTGTCGCTCCCTCACCACATGAACCCAGCCATGAAACAACAGGATCGCCAGCCCACTTCTTTTATTAGATTCAGGATATATTTAAAGCTAGACCAGCTTAAGCGCACAATTTCACGAAACCTGCTTTCGCCCAAGTTTGGCAAAACATTTGTTACAAAGTTGCGAGACTTGGGCACGGAATGGTGAAAGAAAGGATGTACATATCGCAAACGTTCCGAACAAGCAAATAAAACAGCTAGGTTTTCCAATATCTCATCCTCTTGTTCGCGGTACTTGGTCTCTAAATGTTATATACATATTTTTACTGACGAACACTAGCAACAACTCAATGTTTATTACCATTAGCTTCTCCGAAAAGCTCCAACATCCACTAGTCATTAATATATCTTTCCACAAATTCTACGTTTTTCATTAATTTTCAGCATGTTTGTTTAAAATTTTTTTCAAATACCGAAAAACAAGTTTACGCTAATAATTTGCAGGTGCGTTCGTATAACACCGTGCGTAAACTTACATATATACGCGATACGTAAGTTTAAATGTTTAAACGAATACCCTTTCTATCTTTTAATAACCATACACGCAGCAATATTAAACTGAATTTGTCAAACAGGTGGCAACTCTCTATTTTTTTTCTATATTTTAAGTTATACCTCCAGAAATACATCGGTAAAATATGCAGCCAATTTCATGCATTAATTTTCGAGTGATGCGCGTACTAACACACAGACACAAAAATTCTAAAAATTACTGATTTGGCTTCTTTTGGTCTAATAAAGACCCCCATATTAATTTTTCTTTAATATCTATGTATTATGTACAGACATATGCCTGTTAAAGTTGTATTATATGTATAAATTAGTCTGAAATAAAAAAATAATCATAAATCAGAAGGATAAAATGGTATTAATATGAGTATGAAATTAAAAGTAAAAAATAGTACATACACTTGTGATCAGCTAATTAAGCCAGCAACATTTTGATAAATTTTTGCGTAGCCAGGGGGAACGAATAGATCCATTCTTCAATGAACTACACTTGTGATCAGCTAATTAACCGGCAGCATTTTCATAAATTTTGGCTATTTGCTTTCGTTTATTTAATCTTTATTATCTTTCCATAAAAGTCCAGCTCATTGTATAACAAATACCTTATAAATCCAGATTTCGAACTTTGTGCAAAAATTATGAAAAATCTGCAAAGTTTCCGCTAGATTTTAGACTTTTTATTCAGATTTTTTAGAATTTGTGATCAGCTAATTAAGCGGCAACATTTTGATAAATTTTGGCTATTTTGCTTTCGTTTATTTAATGTTTATTAATTTTCCATAAAAGTCCAGCTCATTATATAACAAATACCTTATAAATCCAGATTTCAAACTTTGTGCAAAAACACAGAAATTATGAAAAATCTGCAAAGTTTCAGCTAGATTTTCAACTTTTTATTCCGATTTTTTAGATTTTTTCGTGTATGCAGTTTTATAGCCCATTTAATTCTAGGATAATAATGTGCAAGTCTTAAGCTGCTAAAAATCGCGTTGATTCTTAATAATTTTTTCTGACTTCATGATGCATTTTTTTCCATACAAAAAAATTGTCGAATTTATTTTGCATGGAAAACAATTTGTAATGCAGTCAGAATAAAAATTATTAAAAATCGACGCGATTTTTAGCGACTTAAGACTTGCACATTATTACCCTCGAATTTAATGGGTTATCAAACTGCATACTCAAAAACATTCTAAAATAAGTTGAAAATTTGCCTGAAGTTTTGCAGATTTTTCATAATTTTTGCACAAAGTTCGAAATCTGGATTTATAAGGTATTTGTTATACAATGAGCTGGACTTTTATTATTATTATTACTTATGGAAAAATAATAAACATTAAATAAACGAAAGCAAAATAGCCAAAATTTATCAAAATGTTGCTGGCTTAATTAGCTGATCACAAGTGTATTTCATTGAAGAAGGGATCCATTCGTTCCCCCTGGCTACGCCACTGTTAACACATAATCATTGAATGGGGTAAAATTAGCCTTTTAAAATTAGTTTTTGTTGATAAATCACAAAGTAGTTTGCATCTACTAGCATTATATCCCACTGTATTACATAATTTCGTAATTGTAAACTTGCATAAAACTTTCGCATAATTAAAATATTTTATAACTAGCATAAAACAAAACAATTCTAGTTACTCACATATGGTAAATACTTACAGGAAGGATGTATAAGCAGCACCGACTTGTAGAATTCTCACCACGGACAAACGGAGTGCCTAATCAAAAATTGTTCGTTAGGAAAGCTGAAATCCACATTCGTATTGATAAGGCAGCTATACGAGGGACAGAAAACAAGAATAAAAAAAGTTTTGGCTGCAGTGGAAAGAAAACAAAACTGAAACTCTGGATATTTCAATTCATGGAAAACAATACTACAAAGAAGGTAATGTTAAACTAAAAACTTGTTTTGGTTTGCATATCAGGATTCGAATTGTCACAGTAAATGCAAATTTCAGATTACTTATTATAACCTGCTAATGTTAACGTAACGTAACTCGTAATCACGGTTCCACTTTCTCCTCTTTTTGTGTACCAAAATGCAAAAATGTACCAAACTAGGTTTATGCTATAGATTAAATTATTCAAATATTTTAGAATTACCCATTGCTCATATAGTTAATAAGCCAATTTTCCGAGAGCGGTAACTGTTTTGTGCTACGTGGAGGTGTGTTGTTTACAAACTGTGGTACGCGATCCATGTGTTTGTACCAATTTGTAGGCGTTTCAGTGCACAACTTCGATAACTGCTCTGTGCATTCTCTCCACTTGTCCTTTTACCCGCAGCACTCCTGTCGTTATAAGCAAATGCTGAATATTTTCACCCTGACAATATTCCCTAAATAAATTCGAGGTGAATGCAGCGCCACGATCAGTAATGATGCGTTTAGGGTTACCAAATAAAGCTGCCTATTTATCAAGTCTCTCCACCACTGCCTCAGTCCTGTATTCTTTGTGGTAGTGTTGGAAAACTATCGATAGTGTGTATACATTCTATTGTTTCGATAGTGATAGTGCAAATTATTCGATACTATCGAAAGCTTTCTTACATATTTTGAGATATGATACTAATGCCCGGTTTTACCAACCAATTTCAAAATGTATCAAGCTTAAAATTTAAAATAGCACAACCTCCTAAAAAATTGTGTCATTTTAAATTTTAACGGCCCGACAAATTTAAAATTGATTGGTAAAACTGGGCACAACATTTTGTAAATATGCAAATTTGAATCCATTTTTTATGGTCCTAGAAAAATTTGGCTAGTGATATCACAGATTCCATCTCCTGCAGATTTCTTCGTTTCTTCTTTTACTATATAAGACAATAACAGCCAGGAAGAAATCTTATTCTTAAATAACCCAATTTGTAACTACAAAAGCCATAAAGATTACACAGTGCTACAAAGAAGCATAAAGTAGAAATACCTGGGAAGTTATGTATATATTTTGGTAGGTCTTTTCGAGTAAAACCAGAATCGAAATATGAAATTTGCCAAAAACCCGCAAAATCTTGATTTACCGTTAAAAAAAACCGGGTTTTCGTACTTTTGCGCACATATAAGCCTGTAACTAAGTTCATTATAAACTGAGTTTCGGTTTATTGCCAGCTTTAAAAAGAAGATGTGTACTTGAGTAAAGAAGCCTTAAGAGATCTGTGTGTATTTACCCAGCAAACACATATTTTTTTTTACTTTTTCACCTTTTTTCAACTTTGGTGAAGTTTGTACGAACTATTTTATAAGAAAACCATACTAGTCCTAAGTTGATTGTAAAACTAAATTTAATAGCGAGTAAAACGAGTGTTTACGTTCAAAATTCGGATGGAAGTTTACTGAGTTATCAAACTTTTTATGAAAACAAAATTTTTGCAAAAATATTATTTTTGACTATACTACTCAAAAATGTTTTCTTTGCCGTTATTTATTAATTAAGCATCATCAGTTTCTCGTTGTAGAATATTCTGAAATCATTTTTATACCCAAGCGCACTTGTGCAAAAGGGTATTATAATTTTGTTCAAATAACGGTTGTTTGTAACAGCCAAAACGAAACGAGATAGATATAGACAAATGTATACATAAATGATCAGAATGAAAAGAGAAATCGATTAAGCGGTGACTGTCTGTCCGTCCGTCCGTCTGTCTGTCCGTCTGTGCACACGATAACTCGAGTAAAAATTAAGATATCTTAACGAAACTTGGTACGTGTACTTCTTTCGGGCGTAGGACGGATGGTATTGAAAATGGGCAAAATCGGACAATAACCACGCCTACCTCCCATATAACGGTAGTTTTCGGAAATACAAAAACCTATTTTGGTAACTAGTGAAGCTTATTCAATCAAAACTGATATTTACAAGGATTTTGAGACGAAAAATAATAATATTATAAATTTTTGGGAAATGGGTGTAGCCACGCCCACATCTGCATATCTCGGTAACCGCTCAACCAATTTCCCCCAAACTTGGCACGTTTGTTGGCCTTATTATTATTGTGATTTTATTTTTGTCTCCGAAACGTTTTTTAATTGTAGCTATCTCTTGGTGAAAGTATTCGCCTTGTTCATCTCTGAACTGGCCCAAATTATGTGGGAAGAAGTCCAAATGCAAATGACGTAGTCGTCGCTTCTGTGGCTTCCAACGAAGGACGTTTTTGTACAGAGCTTAGCTTGTTCAAAAAGCTCACTTCGCTCATAATTTTTACGAATTTCAGATCCTATGAAAAAACCTAAAATTCATAAAAAGAGATAAAACCGATGAAAAAGTATTAGATGAGAGAATAAAAAATTAATACCTCCTTTTATTTTGGCTTCACTTAATTTTGGGAATACCACTTTAAGATGACAAAAGGCTTTGCTATTTGCATCCAATTTTCTTACAATTAACAGATGGATTGCACGGAAAAAACCGGTTTTCCTATGGGACAGCTTTGCAAACCGTGCACCGTGCAAGGGCTTTGCAAGACTGTGAGAACATGGGCGTCGCTACCTATGTCTATGTAGAATACAATACTAAGAACTGGCAGCTGAAAGCAAGAGTCTTTGCCCGGTAGTAAAAAAACATATAAATCACAGTTCCAAAAGTTCCAAAGATTACAAAATTTAGGAAAATTCAACAAAATTTCAACTTCTTAATCTATTAAACTGGGTATGCAGTTTTCTAGCCCATACAATTTTAATCTAATGAAGTGCAAGTTTCAAAGAGCTAAAAAATCGAGCTGATTTTTCATAATTGTTTTTTTGGAATTGTTTTTTTTTATATAACAAGTGTAATTTAATGGCGTTGATTTTTTGAAATTTTATTGTTAACGGTCTCTGGCATTTTGTTTCATAAGAAACTAATGCTCATGGAAAAAGTGCAAAGATCCGTCACCAAAAAAAATTTCCAGAAACCAACTCAGAAACTTGCACTTCATTAGACTAAAATTGCATACCCAAAAATGTTCTAAATAATCAGAGTAAAAAGTTGAAGTTTTGATGAAAATTTGTGGAATTTTCCTAAATTGTGTATAAAGTTTGTGACTGTGATTTAAAGCTTGAACGGTATTTTTATAAAAAGATAACAAAAAATTTAGATCTGAAAACATTACGAATATTAAAAAAAATCAACACTTGGTCATTTGTTTTTGTAGTCACGTACTTAGCTTTTCTCTCTGACGTCAGGAATTTTTTATAAGGACTATGGAATTAAAAAATATGATTATTTCAAAAAATGATTTAAAAAACTCGGTGCGATGTAGTATAAAGATAAGGGTATCAAATATAAGAAAAAACTCCGTTGAATTATAACGGAAAACATTTTTTGGTGCATAAGGACGAATGGGTATAAAATTTTAAATTAAAAATTTTGTCCTTAAAAGTCCATGAAAATTTGCAATATTTTTTTTGAAAAAAATATTGTTTGAGGACTAATATACATACGACCACATCATCGAATTTCGTCCTGCAAACTTTATTAACTTGAAAAGAAAAATGTTTCGTCCTTGTGAACCAAAAACTTTATTGTTTTTAAATTCAACAGAATTTTCTCTTTCATTTGGTGCCCATATCGTTATTCTGCATTGGACTGTTTTTTCAAAATAATTTTTTGAATTAATTAAATCTTTAAAATTTCAAAGTCCTTTGAAAAAAAATGCTGACGTCAGAGTGAAAAACTAAAAACGCAGTTTTACTATATTTGGCCCATAGTTTCGTGAGTATATTGATTCTTTCGTTTGTTCTGCCATTTTTTGTTTGTTTTTTCGACACAGTGTTATTCATAGTTTTGAAATATATTTCATGAAAGCAAAAAATAATAATAGTTGACATCACTTTCTTTTTTAACACTGACCATTGTGAAGGACACTGAATGACAGTAAAACGCAACGCTCTAGATATTTGTTGATGTGATTTTTGAAATGAATGATACAAAATTAGCAGGTATACATATGCTAAAATTTTTAGAATCAGTGGTTTAAATTTTATACTGAAAGGGTTAGCAAGGCTTTAGATTAATGATACTAAATGCCTTTCACCATAAACGGCGCCAATTTTCTGAGTTATCAGGTCTCTAGCAGTACACGATTAATTATTGTCTTTCTCGAAGTTTTTTAAATAAATCTTCAACTAAACACTGAAGTATATTTACGAATATCACGTTTTATTATCTATATGCTTGAATTTAATTTCACCTGAATTTCGGGGGTTACTACTAATTTTAATAAATTGTCAGTTTAATTTCTTATAAAATTTACCTTTAAGTTTTTGCATCTTAAGCATATATCCAAAATTTGTTTTAGAGAATCAGTGTGAAATAATTGCACAAACGATTAACCCATTTGCTGAGCAACCGAGACGTCTGCTTTTTAAATAATTTTTGTAAAACAAATCGGCAAGTACATATTGTTCCCCGCATGCAGAAACATGAATGTGTAAAAATTAAAATTTTGGGAAATCAAGTTTGAAGTTTTTTTACGAGACTTAACTCTGCATTCATTTAATTGACATTGTGAAATATGTGCTTTCCATGTACGCATGGTATTCTGGCTTTTGGTATAACATAGAACATAGAAAATCCAAAGGTTAATCAAGTCAACCCAATAACTCAAAATTGGTAAATTTGCACATTCATGCATCTGGCATAAGGGTGACGATATGTATTTATTTCACATTTAATAATTTTTTATACACCTGTCCTACATATCTTTGTAGTAAGAAAATAGTAGTCGTATTTCGACACCTGAGTGGAAGATCGACCTATCTCGGCAGCCAGTTCGAAAACGCCCTATATCAGAAAACTTTTCAAGAACGCCCTACTCCAGAATTTGATTGAAAAACACATAGAACATAGAAAATCCAAAGGTTAATCAAGTCAACCCAATAACTCAAAATTGGTAAATTTGCACATTCA